GTTGCATACTTATTTAAGTACTGTTTAATTTGCCAGTTTATTTCTTATAGTTTTCTTCAAGGTGGTGCATTTAAAGGGATCCTTTGGAAACATAACATGGCCTTAAGGAGGGCCTGTTTTGAATAAATGACCCTATGTAGCATCAACTATAAATTGTATTCTGAGCAATTGAACATCAAGTGTGCCTTCTGTTGTTACTTGGATATTTTAATTTCTAGGGATGCTTGGAATTCATTGGGTGATATGACCAAAGAGGAAGCCATGATTGCATATGTTGAAGAAATGAAAAAGGTAGGAAAAATAATTCATAGTAGAAAATAAAAAATTTCAGAACAGCTCTGATTTAATTTTGTTATATGACAAATTAGCCACTTTGTTTTAAGGAACAAGAAGATTGTAGTATGTTATACTATAGAATCTAGATTATTGAATTTATTAGGGCTTTATTTGTTCATCTTAGGGTGTTTTTTTCCTTAAGATGTATCACATTGCTGTGATACGATGTTTTGTTTCTTTGTTTTTTTCATTTTCCCTGTCTTTCTCTATAGTCAGCTTCTGGAGGATGTGTGGGGATAAGAATCTTTGAAAATATTGGTGTCCCTTACTCTGGAGTCTGGGAAGTACCTAGATGGTCTTGAAAACATTTCTGCTTTGGAATTTTTTATTCAGGAGAAGTAGTCAACATGACTGCTCAACAATGTTCTCATACAAGTTTTGACTCATGAATTGAGATACTCCCATCACTGGACTTGTTAGTACCAAGCATTTTTCTGTGAATGCATAGATCCTTCAGAAGCAGAATAAGATAAGGATGCTTTTACATTCTCTGCTAATTACCAAAGAAGGACATTCATTCCTTATTAACTAGCTCTTTGAAGCGTGTCAAAGGTATTGTTTTGAGGAATAGATATATGAAGAAATCAAAGATTTAAAAACTGATCTTGCCTTTAAGATGGACTAGAAAACCAAGGAAAAAAGGGGGAAAAAAGCAATTAAAGATGATCTTAGAGCCTTTTTATAGAGGACCACTTTTATGTTGGACATAGATCAGAAGTTGTGAAATCTATATTTGATAATCTTAAATAAATTAGCTTCGAGCATAAAGAAAATCTATAAAAAGGACTAGTTTTTTGCCAGATGGTTTGATGGTATTCGTCTCTGTAGTAATTTCTATTTAGTGGATTTATGCCAGTTTTTTTTTTTTTTTATCTGTTCTACACTGCTAAAAGTTGTGCCCTTTGTTATAGTTTCACAATTTTTATTTAGTGAGACTTTATCTGTAACAGAGGACAGAGTTTAGTTCTTTTGGCTCTTAACTGTATCAATAACACAATAACAAAGGAGCCTTTTAAAAACAGAAAAAGGAAGATAATCTAAAACCTTTTTGGTTTGATAACTATTTCTTTTTCTTTACCTTAAATATCGTTATAATTTTTAGGACATACTTCTATAATATAAAGTTGAATTGACACATTAAGTAAAACTTACCCACTTTTTTCTGTCTAATTTTATTAATTAATGGTAGAGGCACAGTTTGTGTTTTTTTTTTTTTTTCATATGTCTTTTTTCTTGGCCACAATTTAAAGTGCAAGGGGGATGAAACAATGTGTATTCTACTTTTTTCCCCAAGAAAGATTAAAACTATACTGCTGCTTTGAGCTATCTTAAAATGCTTCTACTGCCTATGGATTTCTATAACTACCTCTCTAATTTAAAGAATACACTGTTTTCATTGAGAGTTTTAAAATTTAATTTC